TATTTTATACCTGATTCTTTTATTTTAATCAATGTCTTATTAACCTAGTAAAATTTGTTTATATCGCTTTTTAAATAAACACATTGTCATTGCAGTCGTTTTCGTAGGAAAGAAGATATATTGTATGATTCTGAATGTACATTTACCGCGGAATATTCTGAAATTAGGCCACTCTCTCAATACATTTTACCTTAATGAATTATTTTTCTATTTTATTCAAAACACTGAATTCAAAATTAAGTCGAAATTATGGCCAGACTAATTACAATGGACGACTCACGAATTTAGTGCATTGTTTTGTATCAAATCCCTCTTGTGTTCACGTTCCCTCCATATTATATTGTTCAGCTCAAATAGTTTCTTGCCTCGAACTACTGCTCTATGAAACAGATACACAAGTGAATGTTTCTCTGATCGTTACAGTCTTAAACTGTTCATATCTTGGGTTAACTGTTATCTTCCCTACCTACCCGCATAAAGTGTACCCCTTGTAATCCTCTCGAGTAGACCCCGGGACTCGTAGAGAGTGAACCTCAGTGCAATATATATATATATATATATATATATATATATACGAAGAAATATATTCTTAAGGTGTGCTACATTTATCAGATAAAGTGCTCAATAACAGAGATAGAGCATGTGTAAATATAAAATGAACATTGGAGTCAACACTTAGAGGCGACAGGCTGTTTTATGCTAGACGCAATCGTCAGGCCACGAGAGCTGTTTTTTTCTCAGATAATTTATATATACGGGTCAGTGTTGGATTGTGGGTAGTCTATTTTGGCAGTTATTTTACTGGAAGTCGTTTATTTATTTGGGTTAATTTATTTTGCTTGTTTTTATTCATTTATTTCTATTTTTTATTTCACATCTTATATATTTATTTATTTGTTTTTATTTTAATCGGTGTTTTATTAACGTAGTAAAATTTGTTGATATCGCTTATTTAATAGTTTTGTTTTGGTTTGGGAAGATAGTTAAAGTTATTTATTCAATTTTGTGGTTGATTTGTTGTAGTTTATTTTAACTGGTATTTTGGTGTGAGCAGTTTTTAATTTGTTTATTACTTCATGTATTTATTTGGATTGATTATCTTTATTTGTTTTTCTAACGGTTAATTTATCGTGATTGGTTTGTTAGTTTGTTTATTTATTTGGATGTATTTAGATTAATTTATTCTACTTGTTTTTTTATTATTTATTTGATATACTGTATATTTTTACTTACTCACTTCGGTTTTCCAGTTTTAAGTAACGTAGAATTTTTTATCGTTACATAACAGAATAAATAGAATAAATAAATAAATATTCTAACTATTATTTTGTCGAGAGCATCTTTTAATTTGTATATTACTGTAATTGTTGACAACAATGTTCACTTATATATATATATATATATATATATATATATATATATATATAATCATAAGCTCAACATCCCAAGAAGGTAGTCAATCTAGGGGAAGAAAAAAACCCTGATTTTAAATCTCCGCTGCCTTGCGATGATATCCAAAACACGGAAAAAGTTAGTGAAGTAAATACAGACAGAAAACCGGGAGTGCAGCCCGGATGTCGATTGGCGGTCAACACTGACAACTTTCCGGCAACTCCTTCCGCCAAGCCGTCCCTGTTTCTCACAAAAATTGACTTTCTCAGACACCATAGCTCGGGACACCAGGTTGGACATTGAGGATCTGGGGACAACAATGCAGGACCGTACAGTGTGAAAATGGATTGTCAATAGAATTCCGACCAACCAAAGTGGGGCCGAAGTTTGATGATGATGATGATGATGATGATGATTTAATTTAATTAGTAAAACGTATTTTAATTGGGGATCGCTGGTGAAGGAAGAGAAACAAAATTTGGGTCTCTAGCCGAATAATTTTGACGGCCCCTGGTTTGAAAGAATCCTTTTCGAGTTCCAGATTTAAATGTTAGAGAAAACTTTTCGCTCTTCGGCAGGATTCGAAAATATTTCTTCCTCATTATTATTATTACATTTATTACTATTATTATTATTGTTGTTGTTTTTATTTCCTTTGATTTCTGGCGTTTACACATTTCTTTCCGGGTCCCGCTCAGAGACTTAAGGTTAAAAATGGCATTATGACATTTTCCACTGGCAAGAAAAAAAAGAAAAAAACATACATAGATAAATAAAACCCTTCGTAAAGTGTGAGCTGTAATTGTGAGAACTATTTTTTTTTATATTTCTTTGAGGCATGGATTTCTAGGAATCCCTTCAATTAGTCTACTAGAATCTTTTCCAACCAATCCTAGGGCTCCAACTACAACAGGGATGGTTGATGTTCCCATGGCTCACATTTTTGAGATTTCGATTTCAAGGTCCTTGTATTTTGACAGTTTTTTGAATATCTTCAAAGATACATTGCAGTCTGCAGAGACTGCCATATCAATAAGGAGGCACTTTTTTTGTTTGGGGTCTTTAATAACAATGCCTGGGAGGTTATTATTATTATTATTATCATCAGGAGGTCCTATGTGGCCGAGAGGTCAAGTTACGTCAGATCTAACGACGTTTTCCCATAGGGGACGCAGATTCGAATAGTGCCGAAGGGCGCATATTTTTCTAACAAAATTTCTCGAATATTAGGGCTGGGAGATGTAAATGAATAAATATAGAGTTTAACAAATAAATAAAAACATAACATTTATTCAAATGTTAGCATTTATTAAAAAATAACGTTTAGACAAATAAATTAACAATATGTCGGATTTAATCCACCTTCTAAATTTTTTTTTTTTACGTTAGGATACAAAACAGACCATATATATATATATATATATATATATATATATATTTCGAGAATCAGGAAAAATATTTATTCAAAGCCACTATTCGGGATTTGTTTGATAAGAAGTTCTTACGTGGTCATGAGTTATGAGTATCTATTAAAAATAACGTTTAAAGAAATAATTTAACAATGCGTCGGATTTTGGAGGCACGGTGTAGTAATGGATAGAGGCACGGATTGAGGAATCAGAAAGCCGAGTTTGAATTCCAGTCGAATCCATTATATTCACTTACGTGCAAATAGCCTTGGGAAAGTTATGAATCCTTTTCTTCTCCGCCAGCTATCGGTAAATCGCCTTGGTAAAGGCAACTGGTCTAGGAGAAGGACAACTCTGAATTCAAAACGTGTGGAGGGTCGTTTGGGGACCTTGTGACAGGCAGTGCACCAGGTCTCTGTATTCGACCCTTCAAAAAGTGTGGTTGGTTCTGCACAAAGCTTTCACCACTGTAATCATATCATATCTGGGGGTGTCTGGTTGTCGGTTCAGAGGAACTGAGTTGCTTGACACTCATACGTCGAAAACAACGAGAAAGTCCATTATATTATTACAAATATATAAATAAAAATATAATTTTAAGATATCCTATATTTATGGGCCAAAGTGCTCAATACTTAAGAGAGAGCATATGTAAATAGAGAAGTCGTCATTCAGGTCACCACAAGTCTGTTTTATTTTTAAACAAAATCTTCAAGCTTGATGGCTTGAATGTTGCGTTTTAAGATGAAACAGCTTGGTTTTGACAACTTCAAACCGACAATAGCTATTTGATTTTAAACAATATTTGTCCCTGAAGAAGCCAAACTGACTGAACGATAAAATAAAGGGAAACACATCGTTAATGTGGAACTATCATAAAAATACTAAAGGTCAGTTAGAATACGAAGAAGAGTCTTGTTGTCACTTGACCTCTAGTATTAACAGCTATTTCTGGCGAGAATAATCAATGAGAGAATATAATCCTCTTAATTGGAATGAAACAAAATCGTTCTTTTTCCACACCTATGACAGCGCTGTGTCTAAAAGGCGACCTAACTGGCATTGGAAGTCGATAAAAAGGTTCGTTTATCATTCTTACTTTATAAGTCTCTACTACCATTGATCCCGGAAACCTGCGTAAGGTTAAGGTGGGGCGTATTTCATCTTGAAGTTCGTCGATAAAATAACGACAGTATTTTGCAAGTAAATCAGATTCTGTCCATTTAAATTTAGATCGTCCCATTAGATTTTGTATTACGTTCACGATTTTCATTAGGAGTGAAGCCCTGAGGTCAGCAGAAATCAACAGCTGCTTTAGAACACGGGAGGGAAAAATTGAAGCTGAAAAAAAAAACGAAAAGAAAGTAGAAAAATGAGAAGAGGGAAAAGGAAAAGGAAAGGGGAAGAAGAGGGTAAAAGAGAATAAAAAGAATGGAGTGGGAGTAGAAAAACATTGGAAAAATACAGACTGTAAAAGAAAAAAGTAAATGTAATTTTAAAAACGACATGTAAGAAGTAAAGATAAATACAAAACAAAATTAAATTAGTAATTAAGAGAAAGAAAGAAAGAAAGAAAGAAGGAAAGAAAGAAAGAAAGAAAGAAAGAAAGGGAAGAAAAGAGAAAAGTGGAAGAAAAGCGAGAAGGAAAGAAAATGAAGAAAAAATATGAGAAAAGCAAGAAAGAAAAAGAAATAAGAAGAAACGAAAAAAGCAGAAGAAAAAAGAGAAGTGAAGAAAAAGATGAGACGAAAAAGCAAGAAAGAAAGAGAAAAAGAAGAAAAGAGAAAAGGAGAAGAAAAGAAAGAAGCGAAGAAAAATGAAAAAGAGAAGGAAAAGAAAGTAAGAAAGAGAAAAATGAAGAAAAGAGAAAAAGTGGATGAAAAGAGAGAAGAGAAGAAAAAGATGAGACGAAAAAGCAAGAAAGAAAGCGAAAAATGAAAAAAAAAGAAAAGGAGAAGAAAAGAATGAAGGGAAGAAAATAAAGAAAGAAAGAAAGAAAGAAAGAAAAAAGAGAAAAATGTAAGAAAAGAGAGATGAGAAAAAAAAGAAAGAAAGAGAAAATAGACGCGAAAAGAGAAAAATAGATGAAAACAAGTAAAGTGAGAAAAAAACAATAATAAAAAGAACGAAGAAAAAAGCAAACGAAGAAAAGGAGCAACGAGAAATAATAAACGACATTAAAGAAATAATTTAGAGAAACTAAAGAAAGAAAGAAAGAAAGAAGAAATAAAGGCAGAAAGAAAGCAAGAAAAAATACATAGAGATACAAGGAGACAAATAGAAGAAGAAAAGAAAGAAGGGAAGAGAAAAAAATGACAAAAAAGAAAGGAAAAAAAGAAAGATAATAAATAACTAAAGAAAGAGGAACTAAAGGTCAATAATGGAATTAAAGAAACATTTGGAGAAATTATTATTATTTTTTAATGAATTTCAATGAAGCCACTAGGACTCAAGAGGTTACTGAGTCTTTGAGATTATGAGAAATAAACCTATTAAGGAGAGGGGTATAAAGATAATGATTGACATTGCATTTAAATTACTGAAGATCAATGTTGACGGGGGTGGGGCAAGAAGCGGAAAGAGAGTTCCACAAGCAAGAAATGCAATAGAAGAAACTGTTAGCATAGAACTTACGGTATTAAAGAAAGCAAGAAAAATAGAAAGAAAGCGACACAAAGAAAAATGCGAAAAACGAAAAATGACAGTAAAGAAGATAATGGAAAACTAGATTAAAAGAAGACAGAAGATGAATTTCACACCAAGCAAGGCGGGAGAGCCACTTGCACGCAGGGGGTTATGGCGAGTGACAGCGAGAGAAAAGACTGGGTACAGAGGTTATTAAGGAATGGATAAAAGTTGAACGAGGCTGAAGAAGACAGGATGGTAGCGGTTGACGTTGCATTTAGATTTTTGAAGATTGGAATGATCAGGGAAGCAAGTAAGAGGAAGGGAGTTCCTCAGTCGGGAAGTGCATAAAAAGAAACTGTTAGAGTAGAAGTGGTGGTTGCATTAAACTATTTCAACATTAAAAGGGTGAGACCTAGATACTAATCTAGTAGCACGTTTAAATTCATGTAGTCGGGGAGAAAAAAGATCGTCAGAGCAGTTGCCATGAAGATATTTGTAGAAAAGACAGAGGGAAGCCAGATCATCCGTGAGAAAGTGGCTGAAGTCGAGATGCCAGGTTAGGATGGATTACATTGCAGATCCTTTTTTTGGATTTTGTCGAGAACCTCGAGATGAACGGCAGGGACAACAGACCAGATATGGCAACAGCATTCAATGCAAGGACGAAGGGTAGATTTGTAGATGTATAAGATGGACTATAGCGAGAGAAACCTCGCACAATGAACCAACTGTCCTTGCAGTAGATGCAGCTATTGATTCAATGTAGTTGTTTTATTTTAAGTCGGTCGAAAACGTGAGACCAAGAAGGCACATTGAGATGTTCTCCAGGAATCGAGCATCAACCATGGTGAAAAATGACTCAAATAAAGGAGGAAAAAGAAGCTAATATTTAAAGACAAATAAAAAGCGAAATTAAAGCAAGAATTCAAAAAAGAAAAAAACATAAATAAATGTGAAAAGAGACGAAAGATAGAAAAGGATGGTGGGGAAAAGGATAAATAAAGATGTTTAAAGACAAGTGAAGAGAGACGTAAAAGAAGAGAGAAAATCGAGAGGTGGCGAGAAAGGAAAAGTAAACATAAAAAGAGAGAGAAAAAAAGAAGTGAAGGTAGAAATGTCGCTGAGGAGAGAGACAAGTAGAGGCATTTAATAAGAAATCTATCTAGCACCACACGGTGGACCGACTTTCCTAACAGCAGACCAAATAATTTATTCAATATAACCTTTCCATTTCATGCCAACGGAAAACGTTAACCGAGAAGGCATACTGAGTGACTATGGGGGTTAGCATCAGCCATACTGATGGAAAGCAAAAAATGGTTCCCTGAGATGATCAAAAGGAGAGCTATTCCACTGCCAATTTGACCATATCGACCCGATCAGACATTAGTAAATAGCCGTATCATCAGCATAGTTTTTTCAAGCATTTCACCCCAAGTGAGGCAGGATTGCTACTAGCAAGCAAGGGGTTACAGACAGTGAGAGTAATAGTAAAGAGGAGTGTTTGAGGAAAGGATAAAGAGAAGCACGGGGATCAAGATCAAGGCATCAGAAGATATCGACTGGCATTACATTTGAATATTTAAAGATTATAGCTATCAAGGAAGTAAATAACAGAAAGGAAGTTCCACTGTCAGGAAGTGTGAGAGAAGAAGCTGTTCGAGTATAAGAGGCGGTTTCGACAGGGAAAGGGTGCACGCTTAAATTCACGCAGTCGAGGTACCAGTGACAGTAGCTCGTCGGAGCAGATGCCTTGAAATTATTTGTGGAAAAGAGGGAGGGAAGCCACATCACGTCTGTGAGAAAGTGACTGGAGTCGAGATGCCAGGTCAGGACCTATTACATTGCATATCCTTCATTGGATTTTGTCGGGAACCTCGAAATGAACTGCGGAGGGGGGAGCAGACCATATATGGCAACAGTATCTAATGCAAGAAGAATGGTAGATTTGTAGATTTTAAGAAGAAAACCTTCTGGCGCGACAGAGATAGCCAACTTTCCCTGCAGTACCGAGAGCTCATAACACCGGGAAAATTGTTGACGAAAATTAGGAATCAGGTTAGGTCCAATGATACAGCTCTAGAGGACAACCGTACTAATGCAAAAGATCTAGAAGCGTGGCTGCTCAATACAACTTTCATTTTGAGATTTGAGAAGAGAGATTGAATCAGATCAAACATTCGTTCAGAAATATTATAACCTTTCAACTTGTTCAGAACACCAGCAAGCCAAACTTTGTTAAACGCCTTCGAGATAACTAAATCTATACCTGAGATACACTGTTACTTTCAAAAGCTTGAAGAAAAGAGGAAATCTCATCATCAGCTCGAACAAGCTCGGCATTCCATGAAACTCTGCCTCCGTTAATTCCGGTCGTTCACTGCATTTGGAAGCTCATCCAATCTGCATCCGATGTCTTCAATCGAATGGTCAATGTACATCTTTGGTCGACCTTGTGTTCTTTTTCCATTGGATGGTATCCAGAGTAGAACGTCTACAGCTAGTTCTTCTTTGCTACGCCAACAGTGACCAGCAAATATTAGTCAATGCTTTACCTATGGGATGTATTCTTTTGTAGACCTTGTGTTTTTTTTCCCATGGGATGTAATCCAGAGTAGAACGTTTCCAGCTAGTTCTTCTTTGCTACGCCAACAGTGATCAGGAAACATCGGTCTTTGCTGTCCTATTAATTTGCTAATGGGATGTATGTTGGCATAAAGTTCTTTATTGGTTGATCTTTCCAGCATTTGTATAGTGCTGCATGGTGCATTCGTATGTAAGCAGCATCTCACCTCTTTTCCAGTTTACAGTTCCAAGAAATGTGATACACTGATATGTTTGAAGAAGCTGGGAAACAAATTCTGTCAGTTTCAAGCCAGAACCTATTCGAAACTGTAGTAATTTTTTCAAATGCTTTGTTGGTTCAGGACGGATTCGTTCCTGACACTCCACAGATTCCAATTCATTTTTTTTTATATTTGAGAATTGTCATACATCTTTAAGAAAGATGGCGGAGTGGTTCCTCGACACTTTCTCAACGATGTGGAATTCAGAGCTTTCGCCTTACACTTCTTGCCATGTTGACTGGAAAATAAAAGTTAAGAAAAGTAAAATGTATTTAAAAAAAATAGCAACCATTATTGGCGAACTCGGATTATTTACGTTGAGATTATTCACGTTCGTTCACACATTGGACGTTGTTGTTATATTTGGTTTGGTATTTCAGCTATGTATCTGGAGATTCTTTAGAAATTCCAAAGAAGAATCAACAATATTACCGGTCCTGACCTGGCATCTCGGCTTCAAACATTTTCCCACTTCCGTAACGTAGATTCTCTGTGTCTTTTCTATAAATATTTTCATGGTATTTGTTTTGATAAGCTTTCGTCTTTGGTGCCTTGACTTCCTGAATGTAAGCGTACTACTGGATTGGCAGATAGGTCCCGTCATTTTACCGTTGAAACGGCTTGATGTAACCGTCCTTTCTAACCTTATTATTTCTTCTCTCGTACTTCTCGCCCGTGAAACTTTATTTCCTGTCAACATATTAGGGGTGAACATAACAATGATAAAAATATAATAATATTAAGACTTGGAAATTCGAGTCAAAAGCAAAATTATCCAAAAGAGATCATTATTCAAATCAGATATCAAGGAAAATACTCAAGTTATCTGTTGTCACATGAACTCACATAGAGGTTACATGATATCTCGTGAAAGTCACATGATATTATTGGGGCGAACGAGAAAATTCAAACAATTCTCTTTATTGCTAAAAATAGTCCAAATTCAGAATATGCCAAACAAAGAAAATCTCTAGGTCACGAGGATGTATGTCAATGAATCGATCAGAAAAAAATATCTGCTTCTAATAAGGTCATGACATTATAGTTTCACGAGACAATGAGAAATTCTAAATGGATCTTCTTTGTTCGATGGAGTTGGACAATAGATAGTATAAACCCACAAGGAGACAACCATTAAAAATTCAAACGCTTCTATCTTTTGAACATACGTACATATTATTTTCACAACCTGTAGTGGATTAGTCGAATGTTCTCAGTCTTTTAGAAGACAACATAACGATTTTAGATGTCTGCAAAAAGGACATCAAAATTCATTTGATTATGTTGGCAGAAGACAACTATACGCAAGTACAATGTGCTTCTTTTACTAAATTAAACGCTTTTATTAACTCACTGTTTCAATTTCTTTTTAAGCATTTCACCCCAAGCGAGGTGAGAGTGCCACTAGCATGCAAGGGGTTACAGAGAGAGAGGGAAAGAGTAAAGAGGGGTGTTTGATGAAGGGACCCTTGCGTGCTAGTGGCACTCTCACTTTGCTTGGGGTTACAGAGAGCGAGGGCAAGAGTAAAGAGGGGTGTTTGAGGAAGGGACCCTTGCGTGCTAGTGGCACTCTCACCTTACTTGGGGTTACAGAAAGTGAGGGCAAGAGTAAAGAGTGGTGTTTGATGAGGGGACCCTTGCGTTTTAGTGACACTCTCAGCTTGCTTGGGGTTACAGAGAGCGAGGGCAAGAGTAAAGGGGGGTGTTTGAGGAAGTGACCCTTGCGTGTTTAGTGGCACTCTCACCTTGCTTGGGGTTACAATGCGTGAGGGCAAGAGCAAAGAGGGGTGTTTGATGAAGGGATCCTTGCGTGCTAGTGGCACTCTCAGCTTGCTTGGGGTTACAGAGAGAGAGGGCAAGAGTAAAGAGGGTGTTTGAGGAAGGTACCCTTGCGTGTTAGTGGCACTCTCACCTTACTTGGGGATACAGAGAGTGAGGGCAAGAGTAAAGAGGGGTGTTTGACGAAGGGACACTTGCGTGCTAGTGGCACTCTCACCTTGCTTTGGGTTGCAGAGAGTGAGGGCAAGAGTAAAGAGGGGTGTTTGAGGAAAGGATCCTTGCGTGCTAGTGGCACTCTCATCATGCTTTGGGCGTTGTAAGTGAGGGCCAGAGCGAAGAGGGGTGTCTGAGGAAGGGACCCTTGCGTGCTAGTGGCACTCTCACCTTGCTTGGGATTACAGAGAGTGAGGGTAAGAGTAAAGAGGGGTGTTTGAGGAAGGGACGCTTGCGTCTTAGTGGCACTCTCACCTTGCTTGGGGTTACAGAGAGCGAGGGCAAGAGTAAAGAGAGGTGTTTGATGAAGGGACCCTTGCGTGCTAGTGGCACTCTCACCTTGCTTGGTGTTACAAAAAGTGAGGGCAAGAGTAAAAGGTATATTTGAGGAAGGGACCCTTGCGTGCTAGTGGCACTCTCACCTTACTTGGAGTTACAATGAGTGAGGGCAAGAGTAAAGGGGGGTGATTGAGGAAGGGACACTTGCGTGTCAGTGACACTCTCACCTTGCTTGGGACTACAGAGATTGAGGGCAAGAGTGAAGAGGGGTGTTTGAGGAAGGGACCTTTGCGTGCTAGTGGCACTCTCACCTTGCTTGGGATTACAGAGAGTGAGGGCAAGAGTGAAGAGTGGTGTTTGAGGAAGGGACCCTTGCGTGCTAGTGGCACTCTCACCTTGCTTGGGATTACAGAGAGTGAGGGCAAGGGTGAAGAGGGGTGTTTGAGGAAGAGACGCTTGTGTGTTAGTGGCACTCTCACCTTGCTTGGGGTTACAGAGAGTGAGGGCAAGAGTAAAGAGGGGTGTTTGAGGAAGGGACACTTGCGTGCTAGTGGCACTCTCACCTTGCTTGGGGTTACAGAGAGCGAGGGCAAGAGTAAACAAGGGTGTTTGAGGAAGGGACACTTGCGTACTAGTGGCACTCTCACCTTGCTTGGGGTTACAGAGAGTGGAGGCAAGAGTAAAGAGGGCTGTTTGAGGAAGGGACCCTTGCGTGTTTAGTGGCAACCTCACCTTGCTTGGGGTTACAGAGAGCGAGGGCAAGAGTAAAGAGGGGTGTTTGCGGAAGGGACACTTGCGTGCTAGTGGCACTCTCACCTTGCTTGGGGTGAAGGCAAGAGCAAAGAGGGGTGTTTGAGGCAAGGATATAGAGTTGGACGGTGATCAAGGTCAAGCCATCAGAAGATGTTGATTGCCATTACATTTGAATATTTGAAGATTATAGCTATCAGAGAAGCAAGTAAGAGGAAGGGAGTTCCACCGTCGGGAAGTGCGATAGAAAGAGATATTGGAGTAGAAGAGGCGGTTACATTTAACAGGTTCGACAGTGAAAGGGTTGGACCGAGAGTCCAACCTAGTAGCACGCTTAAATTCATCCAGTTAGGGCACCGGTGAAAATAGCTCGTCAGAGCAGTTGCCATGAAAATATTGTAGAAAAGGCAGAGTGAAGCCACATGACGTCTGTGAGAATGTGACTGTCAACGAGATGCCAGATCAAGTCCTATCACAATGCATACCCGTCTCTGAATTTTGTCGAGGACATCGTATATTGCAACAGTATTCAATGCAAGGACGAATGGTAGACTTGTAGATTTGAAGGATGGATTTAGGCGAGAAAAAACCCTCTGGCGCGATAGAGAACCAACTTTCCTTGCCGTAGATGAAGCTATTGATTCAATGTAGTTGAATCAATAGCTTTTTCTGTGCCTACTCGTCAGTGAGTAGGCGTTGAGAAATTCTCACGTGGAGTTGGACATCAGCCATTCTAATAAGCGACAGGGAGGTTTCCCTATAGTTTTGGAGGCATTCAAGTTTACATTTCTTTGTCAAGACCAATAGCGAGGTTAGTTTTGTTAGTAATGCCGGGTTACTTTGCATTTTACCAGCGTCCTTTGTTATATATTTTACACCCAGAACATATGGTGGCTGGATTAAAATAAATAAATGAAATAAAGGAGTGGATGTTGCTGTCTATGAGCCTAGGTTTCACCTACGCGGATCGTCAGTCTCTTTAGGTTCATAGTTAGATTTGCTCTACTTAGTATATTGAGCACTTTACTTAGTTACTTTTGCTTTACTCATTTTGGGGTTTTTTTTCTTTGGACTCTGAGCTTAGATTCTGGACGATTGTTTTCGCCTGAATTTTATTGTTCTTAGTTCTTTCATTTTTTTATCCCTTATTTTTCCTTGGGTATTGGTTTGTTCATTTACAAGCCAAAACACCTAAGGTTTTTCCAAACGAGAATAACTATTGATATTTATATTATTATCATTATATATATATATATATATATATATATATATATATGTGTGTGTGTGTGTGTGTGTGTGTGTGTGTGTGTGTGTGTGTGTGTGTGAAAATATATAGAAAATAGGAAAAGAACTTGTTTTGAAACATGAGACCTCTTATGTCGCGAGTTGGAATCATATTTTTAAATAAATAATTATATATATATATATACTGCGGTATAAATTTAACAAATATGCTCTACTGTTTATCAGGAGCTGAATATGAAGAAATATAGTCTTAAGATGTGCTATATTTATGGAATAAAGTGCTCAATATCAGAGATAGAGCGTGTGTAAATAAAAAAAAGTGAACATTGAAGTCAACACTTAGAGGCGACAGGCTGTTTCATGGTAGACGCAATCTTCAGGCCATAAATATAGCACACCTTAAGAGTATGTTTTGTGGGAGTGGGAACCAAGTGTGAGAGGTAAATGTATGAAAGCTCTAGAGAGAGGGTGTAACAGAAGAAAGAAGAACAGGAAGGCCTAAAGGTGAAGGTGGGGGTTAAAATTTAACAGAGAGAAGTTTTAAAGTGAGGAGTTAAATAACGGTTTAAAAGAGTGAGATACAGATAAATAGGAATTATTTTCAGATGCATAAATCACTACTGATTACATTGAGGTCTACCTGGATTCTATCCTCTTGGTAATATATATATATATATATATATATATATATATATATATATATATAGACCACTAATATTATCACTATATCTCTACTATCTAAGATAATGAAAAGTCGCTGAGAAATACTACATATCAAACCAGACCTAAACATTTTGTTTGAGGAAACCGGCCTTTTAGCATATCGTAGATCTAAGTACCTAAAGGAAACTATAGGTAGTATCCACATTTCAGAGGATAAGGTAATCCGTAATAAACTAAATATAAAAGCATCAGAATTATCCCAACCATGTAACAACAAAAAAAGCTTATGATGTAACCACATTAAAAAAAACCAATTCGTTCGCTAGCTCAGTCACTGAATCTACTTTCAAAATCTACTACGACTCAAACTGTAGAAGTTATAACATAATTTACGTCTTAGAATGCACACTATGCCAGAAACAATATATGGGAAAATCTGAATGACCCTTTCACTATAGAATTAATAATTATCGTAATCGAATTAAGCCGGCTCCCTACAAAAGATTATTACCTGCTGAACAACATTCCCGCCTAGAGAAAACATAATTTTGAAAGCCATGCCAAATTCCCTATAATTGAAAAAATAGAAAAGGACAGAAAAGATAACAGGAACATTTTATAAAACCATGAAGACAAATGGATTTTGTGACTCAAAACACTCCATCCAGACGCGCTTAATCACAAATGTAACAGTATAGATAGAATCAATATATAAATCCATAAATCAAGCCCTACCCAAATTTCTCACACACACAAGACCGATATGCTTGCGGAGGTGTTAACGTCTCGCACTTATACACACACCCATACTAATATATACACTTACACACATCATACACACCCCTGAAGAACTAAATTATAATATGCACTTAACACAGGCACAGAAACCAGAAACCAATAAAACTGTCAAAATGACCAAGGGAATTCAGAGCAGCATGAATCCATAAAAATAACTTAAAAGAGGCCGTTTGAACAACACAAGGACTGACCAAAATTAACGTTAAAAAAAAAAACAAAAAAAAACAAATAAAAACTTCGGAAAGTCATTCATTTCTGTAGTTCCCTGCAACTAACAAGCAAAAACTTTGGACGAATGGCAGACTTATAGATATGTAAGATAGATTCTGGAGAGAAAAATTGTTTCGCCACGACACAGTGAACCAAAATCCTAGCAATGAATTCAGTTATAGTTTTTCCACATCATAT